TTAGTTGAAGGGATGTAAAGCCTGGGCGGATATCGATCTAGGACTCAATCCTCGGACCTTGTGTGTGTGTGATGATGCATCACTTGCTACTACATTACCTCTGCCCGAAAATAAGTGTATTGTAAAGAAATTTTGCTCATTATTCGGAACCAGCCTACAGTATATCCATCTTGATGATTTTTGCTGATCCGATATTCATCTCGTTACCCAAGCTTACCTGAAACTTTCATCAACTTCATTTGAAGACTGAAATACCCTAGCAGATGAAGTTTTCCCGAATACGTTTTGACCTCCTGCTTTGGGATGTTGAGACAGGCCTCCGGTTGAGCTCGACTGCACAGGATCAGACGAAGATGTCAGGTTGGTCATACGATCAGCCCCCATACAGCTGGAGAACAACGGGGCATGTATTGAGAAGGCCATCAGTCCACACAGTGAGAAGGAATGGGATTCAAAACTGAAAAGGAGCGGCTTTGTGGAGCCCCTGAGTAAAGCGGATGAGACTTCATCAAGAAAGATCTTGTCGAGGGAGACGCCTAACAAGAATAGCGGGCCCTGGGACTGTGTGGAATTAAGGCTAGGGAGAAGAAGAAGAAGTCAAGGCCTTCTTCATTGTCCTATCATTTGAATAGTTTTGCTAAACCGATGTAAAGGAGATAGGATGGTAGACTGCCTACCACTACAATAAATGGAGGGGTGGGTCATGGTTCCCTCTTCAAAGAAGTACAGCCCTTTTGTGGAATCAGAGTTGCTGTATGCAGTCAAGCGATATTTCAATAAAAAAGCGTCCTTCGCCTCGAAACCACGAGTGTTTTTACTTCAGCGGGGAATTGGGACATCGTTGTGGGTGTTGAAGGGAAAAATTTATAGATCCACGATGTAATACTCGAAAGTAATCTTATTGTGACGTAGATTTTTATATTGGCTTATATTATTTACTATTTACTCACTAACAATCAGAAAAATTGGCGACATCTCAAAATGAAATTCGAAACTATTCAATATTGAGCAAATTTAATGACCTTCGGGAACTAGTCGAAGTCATCCTTCTGCATGTAGCAAATAGGTTGCCCGAGAAGGACATGAACAGGTCCCGAATGGAAAATTGTTAGTTTGGACCATATTCATTCTCTAAGTCGGTTCACAAACCACATCGCTCCAACAGCCTTGGTTTCCTCTGCTTCACATTAGTAATATAGAGGCTTTTCTATAATAGTACAGTGATGAGGCCCACGATGCTCTACGGCAGCAAGGCCTGCCCCCAAGAAGAAATCATGAAAAATCTCGAAAATCAATCTAATTAGAAACGAGGGTATTAAGATGGGTCCCCTATTGGACACGACCGCATCGGATCAGAAACGAAGTCGTCAGGACGGTGATGCAAACAGCCCCTGATGAAGCTAAGAAACCAGCGCTTGCGATGGTGTGAGTACGAACTGAGAAGATCAGATCACAGGATGGGTAAAATGGCGGTATTTGAAGCTCGAGCTAAGCGACAACGAGCTTCAAAGAAGAGCTGGAACTATGTGATCAAGAAGGACATCGCCGAAATCGGAGTAGCGGCAGCTGTCTGAGATAGAAGTGAAGTTGGAGGCAACTTCCTAGAGCTGCGGAATCGAAGACGAAGCGGTACAAGCGCTTCGGAAAAAATAATACGGTGGCAGCCAAAAAAAGAAAGCTTCAACATGAATTTTAGCGAAATAATAGAATGCGTGGCGCACCCCAAAAGCGATTTCGCTTAAAAGGGCGTCTCAGCAAGGAGCTCCCCAACAAGGTCACATCATTCGGTGGAACTTACCAGCACTAAAGCCTAAGGTAGAGCTAACCTTAACAGCTATGTGTTTTCAAGAGGTAAGCGTGAAGAAGAAGATAACTGTCACGGCCAACAGCACTCATAAATTCTGTGCTGTTGGCAGCCATTTCGTCTTACACTCAAACTTCGCCCATGACGCGGAAGCAATGGCAATTGGCCGTGAAGTACAGGTAATCAGGAATTGGCGTGAATGTAGCCGGATCGAGATTCGTAATTGAAACCACAACCAGCAGATTCCCCATCTCGGAGATAAAGTTTTATGAATGCTAAAGAAAGAGAGAGTACTACATTACTGCCTAGAGAAACAATTTGACAAAAACATGATCCATGGCACTGAACGATTCCTATAGAAAAAGTTACGAACTGAGGTTCTCATTGTTCTGAAGAAAGTTGTTGTTATTTTCATGAGGATAGGTGGTTTTCTAGATAGGATTGCTCCAGGAGCAACAGTAAAGGTGGACGGGTTACTCGAGAGTCGTCACCAGATTGGTCAAACTTTGACCTCTTCACTTACTTCTTACAATTAGGTACACCATTAGGCAAGCCCAGAGCAGCTAAAAGTTTTAATTTGCACAATTCATTGGACGGGTTCTGAAAGCAGGAATCAAAGATTTTCTCATCCCAACCCAACGATCCGACCGGTCGGGCAGAAATTTACCGACATTTAGAGTAACTAAAAAATCTCTATAATTTTGTGTTGTACAAGGAAGGGTGAAAGGCTGATAGAATTTCCCGTAGAGAGTTTTCAAGACAGTTACCTATTCAACTTAATTCAGCGGTACAAAATCGGAAAAATAGGTTTTGGACCGATGGCAAGAATCACAGGAGAACCCTTTGAAAGTTCAACGTCAAGCTGCAGAAGTGATTTAGCTGGTGTAGGAGGAGTGATTAAAGGGAGAAGTTGTCGGGTGGGTTGGTTCGGCAGCGACAGACAGCTGTCTCACTACTCGGCCTGAGCCCAAGAATTTCTTGTGATCCATCCGGGATCACGTGTCGTTAACCTGGACGGATGAGTCTTAGCGGCAGCAACGACTATGACGATTGTTTCGGGACTCGCACGCCACTGCAGTGTAATTCCAGCAAGCAACGTTGGCTGGCGACCGACCGGCTCCTTCCGTCTCCGTCAGCTCGGCTCAGCGGCTGATCTATAGATTTCGCTAGAAAAACGCCCAGATGATTATCCAGGAGCTGAAGCTTCCTAATAGTAGCAATTCTCCGAAAGCTGACTGATAGAAAATAATATTTTCTGAGCTTGAAAACAACTGGCTGAATATATGATATGATAGTGGATGATCCTCAAAGATAGCAACAATTGTTTACAACGATAAGCTGTTGTTGACAAAAAAAGGGAATCACGAGCAAAACAGCTGCTTAACTGATATCCGATCTCAAAGGTCGTGTGAGCCATGAGATCCACGAGTCTCGAACAGGCGTTTCAAAGAGCTCATGCGAGGGTCTGCAGTTTCCTAGCATGATCTTATTCATCTTGAAGTAAAGCCCGAGGAACCATAACGACTTGACTCTGCGGGCCTTACTGGTAATAAACTTTTATTTACCGAGGGGAACATCATTAAACGTGGTATTAATTTATTTTACGGCAGCTCAATGAAGTGTCCTTCCCGTAGCGTCCTTTCCCAGGGTATTCTAAAATCAGCTCTGCCACTGTATTATGACGCTAAGCGGCTGAGCTTTCCGGGACCATTTCCTTCTTCTTCTACCTCCGTGCACCTCTTACCTTATGACGATTGTAAAAGGTGTTCATAACTATCGAAAGAGGGACCGTTCCCCACAATCTACTCGCATCTGAGTGAGCTCGTCCTCACACCACTTCCTAGGGCTGAAGCCGTATGCGAATAATTTCGTTTCTACTTTCAAGTGGCATAATTACTGCTCCATCTGAAATGGTCGCTTTTCGGTGCAAAGCTTGTTCTGCACTCTCTAAAGCGAGACAAAGCATCCGCTTTTATAATTAGAGCGATAACCGGCTCTCCAGTTCTTAGATTTATTGAAAGTAAATGGCGCAAATTTTGACAAACGTATTATTCACTGAGCGAAATTCGGAAAGAATAACAATTATGGAATTAAGTATGCGTAAATCTGGGCCAAATTGAAGTATATACAATGTGTACCTCGTAAGTCACTTTGACAGCTTCTATCATTTTCGATGCATGTTAATACATATGTCAAAAGGTATAGTGACGAATTTCTGTCATATAAGAAGTTGGTCTTAGCTTACGCTTAACCATAGTCAAACAGTCATCAGAGTCAGCTTGATACTGCAATCTCAACGAACTTTTCGAAATTCTCGACATACGGAGCTAGGGATGTGTGTTTGTAACCTGAAAACATTATATCACCCATATATCGTCGAAGAGAAATGGCAATTAAAAAGCTAGAAAAGATGGGAGGAAGTCTAAAGGTTCCATGCAATCACCTAAGATTTTCCGGTTCTCCTTGACGTCCTCATCGACCACGTTTTTTGACAACTCATTTATGAGAACACTAAATACTATGAATTAACAAGCACTTTCCGTATACAAAGCATCCTGTAATTATTAGTTTGGAGCAATCAGTAAAGTTGAAGGGGTTTCAGCAATTACTATGAACGGACATAAAACATCCTAAATCGTCACGCAAACCAGATCCTGATATGGGCTCATCTAAGAAGTGTGCCTTAGGAGTCATGGAATTGGGATGGAAACCAGCTCACAACCAATCATTTTTAATTAAAACACCAACAAGAAGCCAAGAGCCGGGGAAGACTTTCATATTCGGTGTTGATAGGTGGATCATTAGACTAAATCTAACTACCACTTCGAGGGGAGCGTTTAAAGGCGGCAGAGAACAAATTGTCGCTTTTGAGAATCGTAACAATTGTATATACGAAGTCCAAAAAATAACTCTGAATTTCATACCTAGAGAGATAGGAAGCGAATGGGAAATGTAACAAAAAACTAAAAACAAGAAATAAAAAACTTAAAAACTGAAAAAAGAGAACATCAGATATCCTGCATTTTTGACAAATTTTCGAAAAAATCAGTCTTCATAGTAAATTCTCTAATGGTCAAAACCTAACTCCCACCAGAACTTTCGCTTATCGGAAGTCACAATGAAGGAAACCTCACTCAACACGAGGGCATGTTGTTACGTCGAACTCGTGAATCTTGCTCACATCCAAGGGTACAGCAACGTTTCCCGTCTTAGGGTGAATACAGAATGGCGATTTCAGCAAATGATTCAACCCTGGAAAGTTCCTATTAGTTCGAAAACGTTAAGATTAACGTTTGAACAAATTTTATTTCACAATCGCTCAACTTTCTCTCTGTCCACTAAACAAATCGGAGCTTACCTGTAGACACATTGACATCCAGCCGAGGATATGCGTGCCAAAGTACAAACCACCGTAAGAAGTTCTTGCTAGGACCGGTGACGGCCTGAACATTCAAAATAATGAATTATAGCGGAAAAGACTAATATACCAGAATTATTTAGTGGTCGGAATCCTCGGGAAATGTACCTTCTGAATCTCCGCAAACATATAATATTTAGTGTTTACTTGGATCACAAATCTCTTATATGAGTTCGGTAAGGTGATAAGTCATGAGAAACAGTGCAAGTTTTTCTTAAAGTACTATCAAAGACAAAGCCCCTTTCAGAATGTTCGACCTCAGTTACCTATCAATAAAGTCGAAAAAGCGAGGAAAAAAGGGTGGTTCTCACTTCTGGAATCAGCTGATTGGTTCTTTTCATTTCTTTACGATAGTTGTCATCAAAACGTCGTTTCAGAAGCTGCCACCGCATTTCGGCGCTATCCACTCTACAAATGCTTGGAAAAAGAAATGAAAAGAGGGTGTGATGTAGAAAAAGCCAACTGACAGAAAACGCAAAAAGTTTGAATGGTACGAAAAAACTCTAAACAGACTTACTCTTCAAACTGTGATCGGAGGGTGGCCTGTAACTCGGGATCTTCGCAGTACTTCAGAACTGCGAGTGCAGAGTCTAGCTCCAACCAGCCTTGCTCAAGAACCTGAACATCAAAGTTTGGAAAAGGCACGAAATCATTGAGATGACGGTAAAATTGAGATCTTCGAAAAGAAGGATTTCAGCTAACATAGGTAACTCAACCGTGATGAAAATAACGAAAGCAACAATTATACAATTTCGTTTTCAAAAGAGGATCTTGTGAAGGATAGCTGAAACTCAACTCTTACCATTTCATCCATTTCACCGCAATCCATCGCCACTCTATAAGCAGTTTCTACCATTGGGTGGACAGGTAACGACTTCTTAGCCATACTCGTTCGGTTACCGTAGAGGTCAAGTTTATCTCCCTGAAATGTAGAACAATCTCACAGAAAAAGAGTGATTATACGGGACAGACCAGATGCACGAAGAAGATGAAACTTAAAAAATAAAAGTATCACAAGAAAAACAAAATAGGTACAAATTAAACAAACTCTTTCCATTGCTAATACTAAGGAAGTGAAGTACATGGCACTAACCACAATGAGCGATAGGTACTCAGCGACAGCAGAGCGTCCAGCATTCGTTAGCTTCCTTGCCTTTTCATCGGCTACCCAACAGTGCACACCACGTCGTCCTGAGAACACCCACATGCGGGCCTTGAATCCGAAATGATCTAAAAAGAGGGCATCTTACTTTGAAAACACGAATTTCCTTAGGTCGATCCAGCTACCTCACCTTCCAGCAGTTTATCGAGTACCTGAACTGCGAGCGATATGAACCGCCAGCACTTCGCGCATACCTTTGCTTCACTGAAAACACACCTTTTTGTATATGGTACTTTGAGGAGCATAATGACCTATATGAACACTGCATTTGGGACTCATTAACGCTCTCAGCAGCCATTTGAAGAGAAACCCCCAAACAGAATCCTACTGTGTGACGTTCTGAATTTACACAACGACATAGGGATACTTATGTTGGCGTAGGCCCTGACCCATCTATTTGTATACCAGAATATTCTATCATTTCGCATTTTGTGAGTGCTCTCGCTCGCTTAGTCAAGTTCAGCTCTACTTTCTGATACTATGCCATGGCACTCAACATTCAATCACATTTTCATCCCATACGATACCTTTCACGCTCGAAAACACATGTTTAGCCGTTTGGATAAACTACTCGTAGCTTCCGCTATGAGGCTTCTGAAAACCTCTACAGATGATCTCTACAGATGAGAAAGTGATATGATAATAGCTAAACTTACTTGCAACACTTTCGTACGTTGTCGTAGTCCGTTAAATCGATATCAAAAACAAGTTCACGTTCTAGGGCTTTGAAATCCGTATGCTTCTTATTCTCTTTTGGCTGAAACATGACTGATGATAGTAAGAAAGGTCTTGAATCCTTCAAGGACAAAAGTCCGCACATTCTGAACCATTCAAAAGTTTTCGTCAACAGCCAATGCTCTTACTTTTACGAAGATCATGGTTTTGAAGAACAGGTAACCTTAATGATAAAACAACGAGGTGGACCTAACGACCTACTGGTTTCACAAACCTTAATTTCTTTTGTATCACTTAACTTTGAAATGCTAGTCCTCAACGACTACCAATAAAAGTACTTCCCATTTATCTACAGTAATACAAGAAATGGGAAAACAATAGAATGGGACTCAAAACGACTAGAACCTTCATCTCTAAGCAATGTTAGATCTATAGCACTTCAACCGCGTGCCATTGGTTAGTCATCACACCATAATAAAACGTCAGCTAGATGTACTAGATGTAAATATTTGGTGAAGCTACATTTTGGACAAAAGTATTTAGTATTACAATACTAATACTGTAACACTAAATACTAAATAATGTGAAAAAAAGTTCCATTCCGCAACACAATTAAAACGAGAAATCAAACCTTATGAGAGTACACAGCTCCAATATCCAACTTATGTGGACTAATCTTGCACAACTCATGTTCAAACTCAGCTTGATCGCTAAAGCATCGATATCGAAGATGCACGTCTTCTTCAAGAATGAATGCAAATTCTCGCCTCGCAAAGTAATCACCAGGCTCTGGAACGGAAATATAACATCACGTTGTGCAGGATATAACAAAAATGACTATATTCCATTAGGTTTTCTCTTTATCAAGCTCTGTGGGTGAACTTTGCATACTAAACAAAAATCTAATCTAATAGAAGTCCTTGTAGAACATTGTCAATTATAAAAGGGCAAAGTGCATTTCTACATTCACGAGAGCCTTTTCACCTGTTTTTTTTTGCTGCGCTTTCAGATAAATTGAAGTAAAAATGAAATTTCCAAAAAATTCAGAACTCGAAAACTTACTTTGATTGTAGGAAAGCCACTTCACGTACGGTTTGAACGGAAAAATTCGTTTGTAGTACTGTGGCAAGAACTGGCTGAGAAGGGAAGAGTCGTAAACAGACATGAGATAACCTGACAAGTAATAAAAATAATTATAAAGTTTTATGCACGAGCCAAAGAACAAGATTTTAACGACCTCTTTGGCACTTCGAGTACCAAAAGCAGGAAAAAAAAGGATGCTGAAGAAGAAACCGAGTAATCCGAAAGGACCTATAAATTCGCCCTTGCAAATGGGTATGTGTTGAACTGATAAAAGTATGTGGAACTCAAGCCTTGAGAAGAAAACAAACGGAAGAAAAACATAAATGCAAGAGAAAATTCAAAATATGCTGCTTCGCGCTTCAGAAATTGGCCTCGGAGCGCTATTACTACCAGTGCCACCCAAACATGCACATATGGAAGGCGAAATTACCTGCTACATCAATTTCGTGTAGGTCTTGCTTTGTTTCTTGTTTATTTTCTTATCGAACAAAAACTCGGCAAGGTCTATCTTATATAATGCCTCTCAAAAACAATCAAACTCCCTCTTTTTGGTCATTTATTAAACCAAGTAGTTTTTTTTTCCGGAATGCCCATCTTTCCCTTTGACCGCACTCATCGATTTCTCGAAAAATGCTAACTCTTTGTTTCTTCGTTCGATGCTCTCTTTTTTAGTTCCGAATGGCCCTTTTGAATTTCTTCAGTGTTTCATAGCTCCGAACTGTGTTCTATAGTGTTCCGGAATATTGGCAGTCAATGCCAGGCTTCCTATTTAACCCAATGCAGGTATGACTTTATCGGCTGTTCTTCATGTTCCTCCTGTTCCTTACCACTCAATACTCAGGTTGGTGGAGTATTTGCCTGGACGGCGGTTTTGCACGGACGAAGCGAAGAATGGAGTCCGTTCAGCGCTTCCTCATGGACAGCTGCTACCGTGCTGCCTACAGGACAGGAATTCGCCGGTGAAATGGCGATAACGCTGGGGGATAAGGCAATGATCATCCTTCAAATCTATGTAGGTACTACTGGAGGTTTTTTTGCAGCATTCTTCAAAACATGGGAAATTTTGTTTTCGGACTGCCCTCATGGAAACTAGTCTGCCAGAGGACACATGCACTGTTGCAGTTTCTATAATCTTATGAAAGTGACTAAAGGCTTTTAAATGATTTCATTTTAGATCCATACATACGGAGATACAGAATAAAGGCAGCAAAAGAAGTAAGGACAAGGAGAACTCAGATGTAGCGGCGAATTGCGCTGATATCACACTAATGGCACGTGGAGGGTGTCTTGCACTGAAGTTGAAACTATTCGAGCTGTCCAGCTCTGTAAGTCTAATAACTTTAACAGATTCTTTAGAAAAATCGAAAAGCCCTGGCATGCACACAGGTTAGATCTATCAAATCCCTGCACTGCAATCATACTTATTCTAAAGTCATGCCGATTCCTAGTAGAAGTTGAGCGCGTGGCGCATCCCTATTCTGATGAGGGGCTGAGCAATGTAACGGATTTCATTTTTTTCAGTATTTTAGCTTCGACAGGTTTGTATCTGCTTTTTGTGCTTGTTAAGTGTAACGCTTGCAGTAAATGATAGGCATTTTGCTCTTATCGATCCTCTCGGATACGCCGTGCCGTTGGTAAACCTTTGTGGCTGCATGATGAGTCTTCAATAATTACATAAAGCGATAGCACCTAATCCAAGGCAAAGCAGAAGTTTAAAATTTTTCCGAGTATGCGCCACGTACACGATCAGCATATGGAATTGCGAAATCATTTGCAATATACATATCTTAGTCCGATACAATAGCTTAACATGTCAGGGAAGAGTAGAATAGTAGTCGCTTCTACTTTACATTATGGTCAGCTTTTAAGAACGACGATTCAATTTGATAAGTTAATAAGAATTTCCGAAGTATTCCTCAAAACCTAGTGAGAGGTGGCCAACAACGACCACTGTTCCTTACAAACCTGGTCGGGAACGTAGAAGAAGAATCCGATCCAAGGTCATGCGTAAAAAGGAAAGAAAGATCTCATCCCACAACTATCTTATTTCAACATCTTCCTGTCTCTACAATCTTTCGTCGCTCTCACTGTTACTTTTTTGGCTACAATGTGGTGTTAGTTCAAGTGGAGGATTGTGAATTATAAAAGCAGGGTGCCTTATGTACCCTCACCTGTAAGTTTCATCACTCTCAATACTTAAGCCTCTTTGAACTTTTCACAGTTTCCGCCCTGGCAAAGACGCTCGTTATAAGTTCCGCGACAAGTTCATGATAAGTAATAAGTTTTGAGTTCGTTACTCTTTTGTACCTGAGTCACCATTTAGAGTAAAATTTTCATGAATGTCCTACTTAGCCGAATCTGATTTGTGCCCCTTGTCGTGTAGATTGATCGAGTTCTTCTATCATCCCAATCGTCACAGTCGCTTTTCTGTTTTTTGCCTACTCTAGAGTATGAAAAGTCCACCGCCCCCTCAGAACCATTACGGAAGCGCCTGACCAGGAGGTTGGCAGCTGCACGAGTGTTTCATAGACTTCCCGAGGGATCCATTCGATAGTCACTCGTTTCCAACGACCTTTTTTGATCCATTCGACGGCCACTCTTTTCCGAAGAACTTTTTTGAAGCAGTGCTGGACTATGTTGGTTCCCAAGTCAGCCAAGGAGGCACGGTAATGCCACAGCGCTCCCACCACTACCCTCTGTAGGTGTTAGCATGTGAAACGTACCAATTATCTTTATCTGAGTACTCTGTAGGTGTCAGCATGTGAAACGTACNGAGGGATCCATTCGATAGTCACTCGTTTCCAACGACCTTTTTTGATCCATTCGACGGCCACTCTTTTCCGAAGAACTTTTTTGGAGCAGTGCTGGGCTATGTTGGTTCCCAAGTCAGCCAAGGAAGCACGGTAATGCCACAGCGCTCCCACCACTACCCTCTGTAGGTTTTAGCATGTGAAACGTACCAATTATCTTTATCTGAGTACTCTGTAGGTGTTAGCATGTGAAACGTACCAATTATCTTTATCTGAGTACTTGTAAGTAGCGGTGATCAGTAACTATCTATAATGATTTGATCAGACAGGTGCACATATCAATTATTCAAAAACACATCTTCGGAATATTACATGGGTTCTCCTAATTTTGTTTTGGACGTTTTCGACACTGATTGGGGCCCATCTGGTGTTTTCAGGGAATGAGATAATGAAAACACACTGATGTGAGTGAGACTGAATCGGAGTGAGGAGAGTTGTTATTCGAATCGCTCCCATTTTCTAAGATATTCCTGCTCGTGTTTATGTTTTCTTTTCTTTTCGTCCCCTGTATTTCATGATTCCTAGCCATCTCTGATTGTTCATGCTCCTTTTGGAATTCACTTTGAATTTCAAATAAAAATGTCGGCAATAAGGTTAGTAGTTTCTATAGGCCTGATTTCCTCTAAATCACAGGAAACCGATGTCCTCTGCTCTATTAGAGCTGTAAAATCGTCAGACCAATTTCCAGGAGATTCTTATGCCTGTTTCCGCTTTGTCTGATTTAAAGTTTTTAGGCGTATTTATTGAATGCATTCATGTGACCAATCTTGTTCCCTGAGAATATCTGGGAGATACTGTATAGGAGTTACCTAGCTGTGAATTTTGATGAGGACTACTTCAATGTAACGTTCGAGTACACACCAGAAAGTAGCATTGAGGTCTCTTGATGTTATTCGAAGGTTCTTGTCCGGAAGGACCTGACACTGTAGGAGGGCTCGGAGGATAGAAAACACTGGTTTAGAAACGCTACTGTTACCGGCCACGGGTCGGATACGACCCTAGATTTTGGCTATCAAAACTTTCGATCCCTTCAAATTCGATTATAGTTGTTCCCGAACAGGCATGTGCCTGTATCTGAAACGTCTTATACGTACATACTTACCCCTCACCTGTTCCTGCTCCCAGCATTAAAGTAACTGTGTAGTTGTACAACGCGGGCGAGTTATGGACATAACTGCTTCTAATCGCCACTATGGGGTTCTGAACGGAAGTTGAATGTGAGAACCCATCTCAAAATGGGAATGATCAACGCAAGAGACTTTTCTTTTACCCAGGAGGCCCTCTGGTTACTATTGTGGAAGCTTCATTGTTTACCGCGAACAAACTCAATCTGGCGAGAGCAGACCATGCGTTGTATGGAGAGGTAATGAATGCCCCGTGGGAAGAACTCAAATCCTTTTTCATATGGTCTAGTGAAGCACATCATGAAGGCAACAGACTCAAAGGCGTGTTTGTCTTCCAAATTGATGCGGATGCGATGAAGCAGCCGGTAGTAGATATCCGTAATGACTGGTGCGTAAGAAAGAAGGGAGACATTCACCAGACTCCACCAACAACACGGCCTTTCTTCCCACTGCTGTTCAGTTGGCTGGAGATTGGGCTTCTATTGTCTAGGTGATCGGTTAACATCCAATTAATGTAAACGTGGCAGTTCCGGAGAGCTGTAGAAGTTTTCTGTGTAGTCGTCTACAGCAACGGCTTTACAGAAAGAATTCCATGTGGTAGGTCCTTTTAAGGGCAAAGATGGAACCTTTGGGGTTGATCAATCCTGTTCCTGGGATGCTCTCTCACATACGACATTCAGTCAGAATCGTAGTGACGGTGTGAATCTTATGTGGCTTGCACAAGGACTTGCGGTGGCCAGTCGTTGTACAAGTCAGTGCTTTCATCCTCCCAGACGACTTTGGTACCAATTAACCGACCCTGGAGGGATAGAAGGCTTGCGTGAGCTGGGCGAGTATCGATCAGGGATTCGATCCGGATCAGGCGTACTCGATAGTGTACCAATTGTCATTACACACGCTTACCACCACGTAGGTGCTTTTGAAAAGTGTCAAGTTGTCAGTTATATTGAAGGGGATCTTGCACATGGGGATTGACAGCTTCATACCTTCATAGCTCCTGCTCCGCTTGCCGCTTGTCTCATAGTTCTCGTGCTGTGCATTCACCTCTTCAAGGGCTATACTGCCTGCAAGCATTACTTGTAGGTGAGGCTCTCTTCAACTTATTTCGGGATACGCTTCCGTCCTCAATTTCCATTCTGAAGCTTATT